TCTCTGTTGTAATTATAAATTTATCGCGATGGGAATAGAAAACTCTTTCCAGATTACATACGTTACAAATTGACTTTATTTCCTTTTGATTTATATACTTAGCCTTATTCTGCCTTATTTGGCATTTCGCTTGTTTATATATACTTTCTCCTTCTCTCTCGTCCGCACTCGTCTCATTCGCTCAACTTCACGTTCATACAATACGCGTCCAATTTAAACAGCCTACATCTCAAGTCAATATTTTGATAATGTCATGTTATAATCGGCAAACATAACTAAAAATTACGGTTTTTGGTTAAAAAACGGGTAAAAAATGACAAATCGAAAAATTTGTTGACGGCGGTACTACCGAGGGGACATGCTTTACAACGTGCAACAGCTTTCATTCTGATTGGTCAAGCCATCTCGGCGTAATCGGCGAACATACATAATCAAAATTACGGTTTTTTGCAAAAAAAACGGGTAAAAAATGACATATCGCAAAAAATCTTGAGAATGGGACCACCGTTGAGACATGCACTATAAGATGCAACAGGTTTCATTCCGATTGGTCTAGCCATCTCGGCGTAATCGGTGAACAGACATTACCAAACCTCCTCCTTTTCGAAGTCGATTAAAAAATGATCGTAATTCTTAGGTCTCTTCGCAAGCTTTTTATTCATGCTTCGTCCATTTTCGACCGAATCCCATCTGCAATTCCGATGCAAGTTCGAAGGAAGCGGGCAGCAACGGACCGTGCATGGCCACCCAGGACCCAGCAGCCTCTGTCGCGCAATTCCCCGCGAGTCGTCGCGCCGTAAATTCTTTCTTTGTAATCATAATAAATCCTGCCGCCTCCGATCGGTCTCCCGTCGCCATTTTTCCCCTGCCCATTTGCAACCGATCATCCGGGCGTCGTTTCAATTGCCACGGGAATACGGTACGAACTGCTCCGCGTCCGCACATAAAGCGATCAACAGTCGGCAGCGCCGCGTGCACACGCACGTCGTCGCGGGGTACACGCGCGAGTAATATTACGCCTCGGTCCGCTCAGTCGCTGATATCCATCTCGTGGGCGCCCGCGCGAACTTGATTTATCGGGTTCTCGCGATAACCCAAGCGAGCCACGGTGAGCAGAAGTACCGTGAGGGCCGCCGCGACGCGGCTGAAAAAAGGAACCCGCCGAAGAACACAGAGCGAAAGAAGTACATCCCAAGGTTCGCCTCTCTGTTGCTTTCGGGGGCCCCGATTCCAGGAATCGACATAAATCCCAGCGGTTTATAATCTGCGCCAGGGAAGGCACGCCGAAGATACGATCGGGTGGAGAGCTTTCGTCGCAACAGGAGTATCAGCTAGGAACGTGTAAGAGGAACGAGGGAGCGAATGAGCGTCCAGCAGGTGCTGGCAGGGGCGAATTTACGCGTTGCCGGATGCGCACGGACGATTCGATTCGCGATTTTCACCTCGCATTGTCTAACTAAATGCGTGGGTGATAAGATCGATAAGAGAAGACAGGGAACTTAATAAATATGTACAAAAATGTACATCAAAGAATAGAAATTTTGCAGTAACAATTGTTATAAATATTAAAAAATTCATAAATTTTTCCAAATGGAAACATCATGAAATTAGCTGTCATTAAATGTGGAAGATTCCATCGGTTAATTCCTTGCCAAATTACATCAAAGAACAAGAATTTTGCGATAACAATAGTTATAAACAATAAGAAAAATCATTTTTGCAAAGTGATCAACTCGAAAACCTGTCCGGCAGCAAAATGTAAAGGGTTTCATCGATTTCATCGATTTCAGGTCGAAGATACGTGAAATAGTACAATTTTGCGATAAAAAATGGAAGTAGGTCAACTGTCTTTTTAAGCTACGTAGCCCTACCAGATGCAAGAAGATTCATTCCGATTGGTCAAGTCATCTCGGCATAATCGGTGAACATACCTTTAAAAAAAAAAAAAAAAAAAAAAAACGTGTCGAATTGTGTAACCTCCTCCTTTTCGAAGTTGGTTAAAAAAGGCATATTTGTGGAATATTCCATACGAGTGGAGTAGCTTATCTGTAACACAAAATCATTTTTTGTGAAGGTTGTGTCATAGATCAGTGGATAACTGTCCTGTGTCATAACTACACTGCCGCTCTTTATGCAAATGCATATTTTTATAGAAAATAGGTAAACGAATGGAACCTGGGGAGAAATTTCTGTCATGATTGGATGATTCCAAAAATATATTTTTTATTTTGCATATAGCAAATGTTGCATATTTTTTGCATATTGTGCATATTCGATTATTTAATACTCCGCCAGAACAAAAAAGATAGATGTGCCTAAAAGATTGACCAACTACGATCGGCAACGTGTTCTAATTTCGATTTGGTATGTACTGTATTGATATACAGTGAGTGGCGAAACAAAGTCGATGATATGACGTGTAAACAGATAGAGTCACGCTGCAGTTAATCTCCATTTTCCTAGTTAAAGTCAGTAGCTATTAAGAAATTGGAAACAATAGGATTACCTCTAACAGAATCTATAGATTTGGTAACTACAGTTACAGAAAATTTAAAAATTATACCCGGCGATTACGGAGAAAAAGTTATAGATAAAATGGAATCAGTATTAAAACGAAAAGTACACTTTCATATATTACTCATAATAAGCAAGATTTTAAAGGGTGAACACGTTGAAGAACCATAAGAGGCTCTGGCACATCCTTGGAGTAAATTTAAATATGCTTCTATGACATCATGTGATGTAGAACGCTCTTTTTCGGCGTATAAATTAATTTTAACAGATAAGAGGCATCAATTTACAATCGAAAATATTGACAAAACTATTATTGTATATTGCAATTTAAATTATAATAAATAAAACAATAAAAAATAGTTAATTAATAATTATGTAGTAATAATAAGTAGTTGTTATAAAATTATTTTATACATCCATACATATATTCCCTATACTTATATTTAGCATATACCTTGCATACATCTTCCATATATTTTGCATATATTTTGCATATTTCGACATATTATTAATCCATAAAGATCCACAGTCTAGTCATAACTGACTTATAAACCAAATATTTCAATCATCAAAGCAGAGTAGAGCAAGGAAAGACATATTTCTATTAGATTTAATTGAGGAATTAATATTTGTTAAATATTTATTTTTGTACTAATTATTGTACGACGTTTTCAACATACCTACTCTCATACGTATTATAATAATCTTAATTTTAACACTTTCATAAGCGAGTTCATGCATGATATTCCAACTCTCATAAGTAATTTCAACATTTTTACCTTTATAAGTGATCTCAGCATCGATATCTTTATTCTCATGTATTAGCTTCAATATTTCTACTATTACAAGTAATACAAAACTCAAAATCAAAAGCTTTTGTTCTTTAAAATGTAATAGTATATAGCATATTAAAATATAATATGTTACAATGTTTTATAATATATTTAGAATACACAATAATTTCTGTTTATAATCATGTTATCCTAGCTACAAGAAATTCGTCAAATACTTGCAAAATTGTCTGCGGTCACTACTTTTTTAATCTCTTACTAGTGAATGTCCTTGTTATATACATACTTATGTTTTAGTGTACAGTTTTGAATCGGTGAATGCACGTTCGCTTCACAAGTGACGATATTTTTAGAACTTCTACTTTCTTGATAATCTTCATCTTGGTACTTCGACCTGTCTGCTGCAACAAGTGGCGCTCAGTCTTTGTATTGATCCATCCGTGATATTTACACGCTAGGAACTTGACGCTTCGGAGCGTCAGGTCTATAATTTTACGTTACTCCCGCATTAACTCGTCCGATCATCTGCTTTGAGTTGTTCACCTGCGTAACGCATTCTCTGGGATAGTAAGTCTGCCACACATTTTCAAGACAAGATCCAAGATTTGAATTCGTCGTGTTATTACATTAATTGCCATACACGATCGTGCATGTCGCTTTCCATTCGTATTTTTGTTTGGAAAATTAATGGTTGCTAGTTATAATAGGCCAACGATGAACATTTTGACGCTTAAATTTGGATTCCTCTTAAAATTTCGTAGAAGTTATTTACACTATCAATCCAGTTTTCAGTAAAATTTAAGTAAGAATGCAATTAATATTACATTTTTACTGTATAAAAGAAAGAAGAATTGTAAAAAATTTATTTGCATATTCATGACTTAAATTTTTCTTACAATAAATGTTATTATTAATATTTTCTTCGATATTAGCACTCGCCCAATCGAACAACTTCTGTGGCGTTGTTATTTGGTTTTCTAATGGTTGTTACGTACCGACATTTTCATTTTTTACTTTTTTTGATTTCGTCGGCAGGAATGTGTTCGAGATGGTTTACCATCCCGAATTCGTTCTAATCGAACACAAACTTAGCCTTTGACGCTAGTTTATTAAATTCATTTTTGAACAAGATACACATTCCTTCCTTGAAATCAACGTCGTCACGCCACTTTCACCCTGCTGGCAGCGCTGCGCCGCGGAAAAACGTTGTAAATATGTTTAATATGTTTAATATTTTTAATATGTTTAGTATTGTATATATGTTAAGTGCGTTGCTTGTTACGAATGAAAGGCGTTAAATCATGTAATGTAACAACGGCGTATATGTATATATGTATAATTGTTGGAAAGATAAGCACATCGGAAATTACCATCGCGTTCGAATTTACAGTTACGGTTATCATTGGAAGAAGGACACGTAAATATTGCGTATTAAAATTAAACGTTATTCTGCTTCGTATATTGAAACCGTAGCATGAAATTGCCGTGTACTTCGTCCTCGCGCAACGTTGTCGCTACGTGAGCCGAGCCACTTGGTGGGCGCGAGACGCGAGACGAGGTACAACTCGTAAATACCAAATTCTCGCGTGTACCGAGTCGCGAAATTTCGAAGACTTTTTTTATGAACTGGTGACGATCACGTGGTTCTATGATCCTTTGTCTCCAAAGCTTCTAGAACGTTCCACCGAGTTTACGTGGTAGAGCAAGGCACGAGCCGAAATCACTTCTTCTCGTACAGTCGTGGTGAGCGCGAGAATAGCCCAAGCGAACCGTCTAAGAGTTAGAGTGCGTATCCATTACTATTGTAATACGAAGTAAGCGGTAGGCAAAACTCGGGTCGTTTGTTAAAATCGGTTTTATATATTAACTTTATATTTAATTTATTTATTTAGTTTTATTTCGTTTGTTTATTTCTGTTATTAGAGTTTCGCTTTTGTTTAATTGATAATTAGCTTAAAATCATCTACGCGTGTGGTGTGCTTCTCTTTTCAACAGGTATTCCGAGCGAAATCGTATATATCGTAAGAAGGAAAGAAGGCGAACATTCGAACCATTCGAATTACATTTAGAAAAATAAAATAAAATTATTGGTGAGTTGTTTCCCTCTAACACAATATATATATTCTGAATGAACACTCTGATTGTGATCACTGGGATATCAATAAATGCGATATTTCATTTTCGGGGTAACCCTAAATTGATATCCTAGGTACTTATATTAATTTTGTTGTGCACTGAATATCTACATCTCTATTTTTCTTCCCGACAATTTTATATGTTTATAAATGTATCTTAATGCGTTTAAAATTATAAATTCAAATTGATTATTGTATTTAAATTGTTCAAATCACATTACACCCTTATTAATAACACCCAAATAATCTATCGAATAAATTCTGTAGTGGTGTTTTCAGTAGAAATCAATAATGTATTTACTTTAAAAATTTCCTGCCGTTCGAATTCTGATATTCCAAAGTTGAGATACAAATTCGCATACGAGCCAGGGCCCGTACGGTACTGCTGCGACAAAGACCTGATCTTGCCGATAGACAAGTGAAATATATATAAAATTAATGATTTAAGCTGTGACGCAGGAATCTCATCACACGTCACATGGTCATTTTTACCATTTGAAGTTGCGAAAACGTGCCACCTTACATTAATTCCAAAATCTTCGAAATGGAAACGAAGATTTATTAAATTGTACTTTTTTTTATATAAAAATACCGCTAATATCGAAAAAATTAATTATCAATTCAGCTCGGTACAAAAATATAAAGATCATTCAAAATTATTAGCAGAAAGACGTGAACTAGCCATTTGTGGAACGAGAAATTGTCATTCATTTGTAACGACAGACAATATCCCATTTATAAGATAAAATTTATTTGAATAGTAAGAAATCACATATTGTTAAAATCATAAAATAAATAATAATATTATCAGTGATGAGCTTAATCAAACGAAGTAGTTAATGTTAAATTTTAGAATGTTTTAGTTTTTGTTTGTTCTTATTTACGCAAATACAATTCCCTAAATTATCTTAGTGTTGTCTTTTCTATCATTATCTTCTTTGTTTTCTGCAAAATACTAAAAATAAAAAAGTAGCCAAGGCTACCCCTATTTCCATTATATTCAATTACAAATGTACTAAATGTTTTCAAAAATAACTTTTTGAGCAATGGTATAGGAAATGCCAACAATAGGTCATGAAATGGTGTATGGATCCAATGTGCAATTTTAATTAATACAAATTATCAAAAAATAAAAATGAAGAAAAAATGATATTTTTAATAATAGCAATGTAGATTATAAGAGTACTTTGTTTTTTTTATTTCGTGTAATTTAAAATTTTGATTTTACTAATAGCCTAAATGGAGGGACTCCAGATAATTGTTTATAATTGTACAAAAATTATTATCCACATATTTCAATAAGTTTATATTCTAATATCCTTTACTTCAGAATATGTAATAAATAAAATTGATGTTATTTGTGTGTAACGAATCACTTTCTATTTAACTCTGCATTTTTAAGTAAAATTATTGACAATTTATTTAAATTATAAATAATGAATGTCTCTTCAATAAAAAGAACTTTAGTCGTTGACAAAAGTTCTTTATTTTTAAATTCTATATTACTAAATAAATATAAAAGTACCAGCATGGGTATCTTCGTAAGAATTACCTTATATGCGAAATCGACGAATAGCTTGGCACCATTGTTAGTTCAAGGATAGATTAATGTATTGGAAGATATACGAGTGCTTCGAATGATTTTCAAATAGACGAATAACTATTTAAAAATGGATCGATTTTCTTTGAAACTCGATACACGAGAGGATTTCACCTTCGCCGGAAACTGAGTGAATCCTTCCACATATTATTTCGTAGACTCTCACGAGTTCGAGCGCTGAAAGATCGGCGACCGAGGAAATCTTCCCACAAAAAGTAACAGGTAGGTATATCCTGTTTCCATTGAGCGACAGGTAGAGTTCTGTGATGGTGTTCCGACCGTCAATACCCATCTCGAAGAGGTCCCGTGAAAGGGACTCCTTCGGCATGGAAGGAAAGGATGGTTCCCTGAAACAGATTAATATATGCAAAAGTCCCATCGGCGAGCGATTTTTCCCACCGGAACAAGTGAACCTGGACCCAGAGAAGTCTGCTTCACCTGTATCTTCTCAGCTTCCGTCCTCTCGCGATTGCTCTCATCAATCCTGGGAGATTCAACCGTAACAAAGACTTTCCCAGGTTGAGCCTATGAGAAATCCGTAGTTTCCGACGAAATTGTATTTCCCTATTCTGTGATCTTTCGTTTTTGAACGCGGTCGCATTTATATCCTGTTGGTTTCGTTTCAAAGTAAACTTCCTACTTTACGTCACGCGTTATAGTATTCATTCTAAGGTGAGGCAAGGGACGTAAGGAAAATTGAAAACTAGAGAAGCAGACTCTGAAATATTAGGTCAGTCGACACGTATCTTTGTAAATTTTTAAAACAAGGAATATATCACAGAGTGTATTCTGGTAATTGATTATACAGGGTGGGCCAAGTAAGTGTAACAAACTCTAATTTCATGACTAGTACATCTAGAGAAGAAAGTCAAAGGAAAAAGATGAATGGTTCAAAGTGTACTGTATTTATAAGACCATGTTTTTTTTATAAGTGGAATAGTGCATGTGCATTCGATAATTGTATTGTTTATTTAAATGAAAATGTAAAAAATGTATTAAAGTACAGTGGTAAAGAAATGATTAATTTACGAGATGTCTTTAACAATTATATAACATATTTTGAACGATTCATCTTTTTCCTTTGACTTTTTTCTCTAAATGTACTAAGAACGAAGTCATAGCTTGTTACATTTACTTGGCTCATCCTATACATTTTAAGGAGCTGAAAATCGCTGTATCGTCATCATCCGGATTGTTTAACTTCTTTTTGAATATTTAATATTTTTAATTTAAGAACTGATCCACCTTAGGATCTCACAGGTTTAATTTCAGAATTCAAGTTACTTTATTCAACAGACTACACAAATTACGTTAGTAGTTTCTCATATTTTCCAAAACTTCTTTTGGAGATAGTTCTACATTTTGATCTCTATTCTATTCGATTTTGTTAATTCTGCCAGATGTATTGTAGAAACCGTATATATGGTCTTTTGTTTTTATGCTTATGTTCAATATTTCAATATTTCAATATTTCAATATTCAATATTTCACCTAAATGCTAATTCTACAGTTCTCATTCGTAAATCCATCGAGCTGTCGAAAAGCTCGATATTTGCTTTAATTGTACCGCAACCTCGCGTACCATTTTTTATAAGAAATTCTGCATTGTTAATTCTATTATATTAATTGTCCATATACACGTGATATCCTAAACATACATATATCCAGTAATGATATGATCTGCTCTATGTTACTGTTTTCCGTACAATATATTTCTAAATCGCAAATCTGTTCACTTTTAGCTGTATATAATATACGTTGTATGTAAATGTAAATATAAATGTACGAATTGTACATTTTTATGAATAATTTTCAGGGCATGAAATAATGCTTTCATTAAATGAAAGTTCTTTTTTAAGTATATATTGATTTATTCAATAAATAGTTAAAGATAGACTGAATCTTTTCGAGTTTTTTAGAGCCAATTAATGTTTGAATATTTGCAACGTGCCATATGTTCCAAATCTGGCGAAATCTATCACGTGATGTCATATTTGAAAACGATGGTCTATTAGTGTAATATTGCGCCGATCAATAATCTTTTTCTTGTATCTCTATTTAAATACTTGACTTTTCATTATAATTATGCCAAGAAATATTTTCATTTTGACTACTGTAAGATTTTCTTCTTGTTAAAATTTTGTGTTTATTTTGCTCATAACAGATGTTTCATTCATTAACCATAAGTTCGAGTAAGTCATCGCCAATGAATCGGTAACTTTTCAAATGCTCTTCCGATTAGTAGGTACAATCTTTAGATCTGTTTCAATAGCGTGTAATATGAGACAATTCATCATTATCCGGTTATATTTCATTATGAATGTACGATTTTGTGAACATATCATAATTAAATATTAGAATCGTCAGTATCACTCGAATATTACAACGGAATAGCTGTTGATAATTTTCTTCTTAAGCAGACATCACTGGCACTTTGACTTCTGAATGAGAATCTTTCGAATTTATCGAATAATTCTAAAATAAAATTTATGATAATTTTTAATCGAAACCGTAAATACGCCAAACATTTTACGTCTGAAGATGCTTTTGCAAAATAACTATTGTTCTGATAGCTTATAAACCATCGTGTGTATTTTGTTTCCTTATAGAAACAAATGCAGAAAGAAATAAACGATGGTTCAAACACGTAAGCTAACGAATGCTCTACTTAGTATGAGCCTTCAACTACCTCGCTCATAGCGAAGCCTAATGTTAAAGCTTGTATAAGTATCAATTCCTTTTTAAAAGATTTTAACTTACACACTTAGTGTTGACGGACCTTGTTATTTTACTTACTTGTATTATATTGTATCGTTATGATATTACTAACGTATTATATACTATGGTATTCAATTGTATTATTTTTGTAAAGCAAAATAAACCCAGAAGGATTTAAATGCTTAGAATAAATAAAATAAATAAAAAAAAAAAATAAACGATGGTTAATACATTTATATCGACACAAAACATGCATAAATAATACAAAAAGAAAACTACAGCATCGCAAGACCCGCGATTAAGCGGTAGGCTAAGAATTTAAGTATTTAAGTCTCATAAAACATTAAAAATAGTTCGAGTGGTCCAGATTAGGAAACTCTCCCTTTACATATTATTTCCTGAGGCTAATAGAAACTCGATCGAAACTCTCTCGACCATTATTTGAATTCGTTCTTGATCTTGGGACAGGTATCGTTAACGTTGAAAGTTCACGGGCTGGATACATCTAGCTGAATCTGCAGCAATAGGGCAGACAAAGACGAATCGGGCGAAGCAAAGAAGCCAAGCATAGCTATAGAGGAAGCGAGAGGGACTCGCTTTCTCGTGAACCCCGTGAGAACTTAGAGACAGCGGCGGC